ACACAGGGAAGCCATGAGTCGGTGCAACCTAGTGGTTATGGGTTTGTGTTTGGAGCAGCATTTTCCAAACAGGTGTTAAATGAGCTGTTAGGTGTTGGTCTCTTGAAAACAGGTTCTTGATGACTGGGAAGGTACGGGGAACACGACGCTAAAAGAAAAGAGAGTGAGTCACTGGACTGCAGGACTTCTCAGAGCCTTTAGGAGATGAACATACGTTTTGAAGCCCCAAAGAAGCAGCAAGGGTTCTCAAACTTCTTAGACCTTCCAAACCAAACAGAAATAAAAAAACTGGTACCTCCAAGTCAATGCTGATTTTAGGGCGACCTCATATGTTACAAAGCAGACTGCTCCACAGCTTTCCTGGCTGTTGTCTTTTTAAAAAGCAGTACTTTCTTAACAGTTTCATCCATGAAGGCTTATACAGCAGCATGGACCCCGACTCACCACCTTCTAAACATCGTTCAGTTGCACTGGTTCCACTTTTCTCAATGAGAGAACATTCCCAGTATTTCCATTCTGCTGGCTCTGTTCGTGTTCATCTAATTTCCCTGCCCCCGTCTAGTCTCATCTTTGCCTTACAGTAATTGTTGACTGCCAGGTGATTGCTTTTAATGACGTACAGGCCGCACAGGCGAGTGTGTTTATTTTGCGCACCCGTCTCACAAGCATTTAGCTGAAAGGCTACGGGGGTTGGTTTTGGCTCAAAGTTGAAGGTGTCCCTTAGAGCTTGAGTATAATCTTATTGCAAGTAGATCACCAGGCCTTTCTTCCTCAGATCCACAGGATGGGTTTGGAACCCCAACCTTTAGGTAGGCAGTGAAGTGCTGTTTGTGCCACCTAGGGTCCTCATTTATGGCGCTCTCATGGCCTAGTGTTAAGAATTAGCATTGTCAACTCAAAGGCATATGATTCAAACCCACCAGATGCTCCAAGAGAAAAAAAAAAAGGCAATCTCTTCCCATGTGATTTACAGCCTCTGAAAATCTGCTGAAGGCTCAGTTCTCTGACTCAACAGCATATAACAACAACAAGGTGGCCTCGTGGAAAAGAACTGATTGACATGAAGCCACTTCAGGAAGTAGCATATGATCAGGAGCCGATGGCGACGAAGGAAGGAGTTCAAATTGCACTGAAGGCACTGGCAAAAATAAGGCGCCAGGAATTGAAGAGACACCAGCTGAAATGTTTCCACAGATAGATGCAGCCCTGGACGAGCTCACCATCTGGGCCAGGAAATCTGGATGACAGCCACCTGGCCAACTGACTGGAAGAGATTCATATTTGTTCCCATTCCCAAAAAAGAGGAGCCAACCAAATGTGGAAATTGTCAAACAGTATCACTAATGTCACAAGCAAGCAAAACCTTACTGAATATTGTTTTTAAAAACTACTATTCAGAGAACTGCCAAAAGTTCAGGCAGGATTAAGAAGAGGCTGTGGCATCAGGGGTATCACTGCTGATGTCAGATGGATGCTGGCTAAAAGCAAGAATATCAGAAGGATGTCTATTTGTGTTTTATTGACTATGTAAAGGTATTTTACTGTGTGGATCCTAACAAATTATGGCTAATATTGGGAAGAATGGGGATCCCAGAATATTTAATTGTGCTCATGTGAAACCTATACACAAACCTAGAAGCTGCTGTCTGAACAGAGCAAGGGAATACTGCATAGTTTAAAATCAGGAAAGGCTTGAGTCAGGGCTTTATCCTTTATTCAAATCTATTCAAGCTGTATGCTGAGCAAATAATTCAAGAGACTGGACTTTCTGAAGAGGAATGTGGCACCAGGATCAGGGGAAGACTCACTCATCAACAACCTGTGTTATGCAGATGACACAACTTTGTTTGCTCAAAGTTATGGAGGGCATGAAACACTTGCTGCAGAAGATAAAAAAAAAAAAAACAAAACTACAGCCTTCAATATGGATTACATCTGAATATCAAAGCAAAAATCCCCACCACTGGGTCAACTTGCAACTTCATGATAAACGGAGAAAAGATTGAAAATACCAATAAGTTTTATCTTGCTTAGATCCATAGTCAACAACCTTGTTGACAGCAGAAAGAGATCAAAAGACGTGTTGCATTGTGGTGAAAATCTTCTGTCAAAAGACCTTAAAGTCAGTTTAAAGACTAAAGTGTCCCTGATTCAGTTCTTGGTCTTTTCAATTGCTTCCTATACTTCTAAAAGTTGGGCAATGATAACGATGACAGAGGAATTGATATCTTTGCATTCTGCAGTGAAGAAGAATATCTCTTGGACGGCCAAAAGAACAAACAAATTGGTCTTGGAGAAGGTGCAACCAGAGTGCTCCGTAGAGGCAAAGACGATAAAGTTTCGTCTCCCCCACTTTGGGCGTGTTTTCCGGAGGGGTCAGTCCTTGGAAAAAGGGGAAGGGTGGAGAATCAAGGAAGGCGAGAAAGACCCTCAACAAAATAGATTGAGACAGTGACTGTTAACAGTGGGCTTGAGTGTATTAGAGGTGACGGGGACAGCACGAGATAGGGCAAGATTCAGAAATGTTCATAGGGCTGCTGTCGGTTATAACTGACTAGACGGCATCTCAGAAGAATGACAATGAAAACCCCGTGGAGGGTCCGCTCGGAGTCAATTCCGACCCAAAGGCACAGAACAACAGCAGCATCCCCATTTGGAGATATGGGGAACTCTGGTGGCTTAGCGGTAAGAATCTGGCTACAAGCCCAAAGGCACGTGGTTTGAATTCACCAACTGCTCCGTGGGAGGATGGGCATCTTCTCCCACACAATTACTGCCTCTGAAAACCCGCTGGAGGGTCCGGGTCCGTAATGGGTCGGTTCCAATTGGCTAGCACACAACAACAAAGGCTTTATGGTTTGAATGAAGCCTCCACTCCTCCAAGAGGCCACACCCCCTCAATCAGACCACACCCAAACGGGAACAGGCCACTCCCCCTCTGCCAGGCCACACCCCCTCTGCAAGACCACTTGCTCCTCCATCAAGCTCCGCCCAGTTCAGCTTTCTGGAGTTTCCAACTCCTGTTCCCCAGCTCACCCACGCCCCTAGCCCAGTCTTCAGCTCCAACTCCTCCTCTGAGGCCCTCCTCCACCCTCTCCCACCCACTGTCCCTTGTAATTACACATCCTGTTTCTTTGTCTTCTGAGAAAAGATCAGGATCTGAAACTGTCTTGTTTGCTGGCTGATAGTCTGTCTGGTCCCGGAAGCAGGGTCGAGACTGGCCCGTTCAACTAGTGCAATGCCCAGGAACCTGGTGGCGTCCTTGGTAAATCTTTGCTGAATGAATGAATGGACAAGGGAATGCATGGACATAGCCTCACCTCATTTGGCGCGTCCATGCTGGGTGCTGACAATGGCAGGCTACAGATGGCAGACATGGAGGGTCTTGGATTAAGGATGGCCACGTAATTTCTAGGGATCCTTCGTGGTGCAGTGGTTAAAGCATGGAATAACTAACCAAAAAGTTCTTGGTTTGAACCCACCAGCCACCCTGTGGGCGAGCGATGAGGCAGCTGGCTTCCATAAAGATTTAAGGCTCTGGAGATCCTGTGGGCAGTTCTGCTCTGTCCTTCGGCTGCTCTGAGCTGTAACTGACTTGATGGTGGTGAGTGGTAGCAGTAGAGGCGGCCACAGTGCCCTAATTTGGCCACCACTCGCCTGTCAGTTGGTGACGCTGTGGTAACTGGTGTGTTGCTGTGATGCTGGACCCTATACCACTGGTACGTCGAATACCAGCAGGGTCTCCCATGCTGGGCAGGTTTCAATGGAATCTTCCAGACTAAGACAGACTAGTAAGGAAAGCTTTTGCAAATTCACCACTTGCAAGCTCTGCTCACAGCTGTTCAGCATCCCAGTAACACACAAGTCTCCACTCACAGACAGGTGGCAGCTGGGCCTGCAGTGCCCGGGCCAGGAATCGAACCCAGGATGCCTAAATGGAAGGTGAGAATTCTACCACTGAACCACCGATGCCTTCTGTTGTTGTTATGTGCTGTCGAGTCGCTTGCGACTCATAGCGACCCAACGTACAACAGCCCTAAACCCTGTTCTATCCTGTGCCAATCGCACTGCCTCTGACACACCCATCCTGATTGCCCCAGTCACTGAATCAATAATTGTCTTCTACAGTGTCATTTTACATTGATAGCACAGTGGTTAAAGTGCTTGACTGCTAACCATAAGATCGAGGTTCAAACCCACCAACCGCTCCAAGGAGATGAATGGTCAGGCTGCTTCAGTAAAAGAAAACTGGGCCAGTCCTATTCCATCCTGTAGCACTGCTATGAGTTGGAATTGACTTATAGTAGGTTTGGGGTTTTTCTGTTGTTTTTTTTATGGCATAATATGAGGTTCCAATCTTCTAAAGTGCAATCTAATGTAATCTACCATTGAACAAGGGTGGACCACGAGACAAATCACTGGTGAGTCTGGAAAGAGCAGTACAAACACAGAAATACCTGTGCACGAATGGTAAAACAGACACATTCAAGGCTCTTCTATAAGTGAAGGAAGCAAGTAATGCCTGGGCCTGCCAGTGATGAAGCAGTCAACCCTGCCAGCACCCTCATTCAGCTACTCTCCTGAATCGTAAGAAAGTCACTGTACAAAAACAAAAAAAAATTTTAAAAAAAGAAAGTCACTGTTCATGAACGTCACCCCCTTGTGATGTCTGTCACAACAGAGGTAGGAGCTCCGACACAGGTCTGCCACACAACTGTCCTCTCCTAGCTGCAAGAGGTAAACTGATGGGGAGCTCTGGTGGCCTAGTGGCAAGGAGCTGCAACTACAATCCCAGAGGTGCACGGTTCGAATCCACCAGATGCTCTGCCGGGGCAGGAGGGGCAATCTCCTGTACCAGTCAGATCTGATTTGATGGTACAGGCACACAAAAATAAGAAAGAAAAAAAAAAGAGGTAAACTGAGCCCCAGGAAGCAGAGAGGGGTATCGTGGACAAATACCGGAGGGGAGGAGAAAGGGAGGAGATGGGCTGCCCACAGACCTCATAGACGGCCAGGTCGATGCCCGCGTAGGGGATGATGCCCAGCACGTTGGGCAGGTAGCCGCGGTAAAAGGCACGGGGTCCCTCCTGCTCCAGGATCTGCCGGGCACAGTCCCGCAGCCCCTTGTACTGCCCGGTCCGGCGCAGGGTCAGCCGTGTCTTCAGCACCTGGGGAGGACCAGGGCAGCAGTTAGTTACCCCAGGAAAACAGCCCCCAGGGTCACCACTTCTGGGAAATAGCTACGCCTGAAAGCAGCCACCCTGAAAACAGAACTACATTTAAAACCACCAACTCTAGAACTTTCTGCCACCTCACCTCCCAATCTCAAAGCATAGAGTTATGCCCCTTGGAGCATTTTAACCGTTCTTCATCACCAGCTGCCACCAATCCAGGTTCATGGTGACCCCAGGTGTGCCCAGAGCCAGTGGTTATTTCTGGGAAGTGGAGTACCAGGCTTTTCTTCTGCAGCACCTTTGGATGGACTTGAACCGTCAACTTTTCCATTAGCTGCTGAGTGTGTAAGCACCCACCAGTGACAGCCCCTTAACAACAAAACCCAAACCCCTGCTGCTGTGACCTGGTTCCTGCTCACAGCGCCCCCACATGTTAAGAGAGTGGAACTGCATGCCATGGGATTTTCTTGGCTGTCATATTTTCTTCACCCGAGCAGATTGCTGACTCTTCCTTCCGGTGCTGATGGGTGACTTCCAACTGCCCGACCTCTGGGTCAGCACTCAAAATAAACAAGCAAACAAACAAAAAACCAACAAAACTGTGGGCAGCTTTTAGTTGCCAGAAAGGCACCGCTTTTGGGTTCGCAAGGCTCCTCGATGAGGCCACCAGAGCTCTACTGCTTTAAAGAGAAAAGCTTAGTTTTTGTTGTATGTACATTTTTATTTTTAAAAGCTCTGTTTTTAAGTAAATACGTAGCCACTAGAAACAAAGACTGCATTTTCTAGCTTTCTGAGGTGTGGAGGGGTCATGCGACTAAATCTAGGTCAATGAACATCATTTGAAGAGGTCTGTGAGACTCTCCAGAAGAGACTCAGAAGAAGGCATTTCTTCCCTAAAGGCAGAAGCAAGATCCCTCCTTTTCCCCCCCTTCCTTCTTGCTATTTGAAATATAGATGTGATGAACAGATCACAGGCAGCCGCCTTGGTCCATGAGGTGGAAGCACCAGGGCAAGGTGATGGAACAAGATGGTTTTCAGCCTGGTTCAATCATGGCTGTGGAAGTGACACCAACATAGGCTCAGATTTTAAACATTTAGGTGAAGCAGAATGATAACATGTTGTTGTGTTGTTATGTGCCGTCGAGTTACTTGCGACTCATAGTACAACAGCCCTAAACTCTGCTCTGTCCTGTGCCAATTGCACTGTCTCCGACACTCCCATCCTGATTACCCCAGTCACTGAATCAATCCACCTCATAGAGAGCCTTCCCCTCCTGTGCTGTCCCTCCACCCTCCCAAGCATGATGTCCCTCTCCAAGGACCGGTCTCTCCTTACAACATGTCCAAAGTATGTTAGACGGAGCCTCAGAATCCTTGCCTCCAAGGAGTGCTGGGTTTAACCCTCTCCAGGATGAATCTGTTTTCTTGGCAGTCCATGGTACATTCAATACTTTTCTCCAGCACCACAGCTCAAAGGCATCAATTCTCCTTCTATCCTCCTTAGTCATTGTCCAACTCTCTGATGCATAACAAAGACCATGATAGCAAAGACCATGGCCTGTATCAGATGCACCTTAGTCTCTAAAGAGACACCATTGCTTTTCAGTACTTTGGAGAAGTCCCTAATAGCAGACTTTCCCATCGCAATACGTCTTTTAATTTCGTGGCTACTGATGCCAAGAGTGTTGACTGTGGAGCCAAGCAAACTAAAGCTGGGAACAATCTCAATCTCTTCACCATCACAGTCTTGCTAGAAATGTTATCTTCCCTATAAAGCAGCATTCGATCTCTTGACCAGAGAATGGCAAACAGAAGAGCCAGGATCAAAGATGGGGGCCAGCTACATGGCTCTAGATGTAAACTGCTGTCCAAAAATTCACCAATAATCAGTGTCTCTCCCTGACCTCTGGTCAGGTTCCTAGAAGGGCTCTTTGCCTCATTTGAGTCTCCTGTTTCAGAGTTTGAACCCACCGGATTTTTCCATGTCATTTATCATTCCTGCTCACCCTAATTTTAAAAAGTCGGTCTCTTCTGGTTTTGCCTCATTAGCCATGACTGAATGTTTGAAAGCCCCGGATGAAGCGGGGTACTTGATACACTGTCACACTGGCCCTGACCTGCACCCCTCAGCTCGAGATCTAGGTTCTATATACTTAATTCCTTTTGTTGTGACTTTCAGAATTTTAATTGACATATTTGTACTGCTTGAAACCAGAAACGAGTCCTCTGAAAAACAGTACACCTAAAATGATTCCTGGGAAGGTGGAGCTTGCAAGTTGGTATCCTTGGAAGTCAGACTCCTGCACTGACTCCTGCAAGGACCCCTTGAGTCACAGCCAGCTGTCCCCAGCCAGGGAAGTGATGGCTCAGTGACACAGTTCTCACCTCCCCTGTGGGAGACCCAGGTCCCCACATCACCACTGTCTGTTCACAGAAGCTTGAGTAGTGCTTGAATGCTGCCGAGATTTCGGCAGAGCTTCCAGACTAAGAGGAGGAAGAAAGACCTGGCAATCGACTTCTGAAAACCAGCTAGTCAAGCTCTATGGAGTACAGTGGTCCGTTCAGTCATTGAACACGAGGCCAGTACAGGATCTGGCAGTGCAGGGGCTGCGTTTAGTTCAGCTGTGGCTGTGCGAGGGGTCACCATGAGGTGAAGCCCATTGGTGGCAGCTGGCCATCCCTCCAGGAGTCGCACTGCACCACATGGCACAACAGTGCTGGCCTGAGCTATGGCCTAAAGCAGGAGAGATGTGCACGCCCCCCCCCCCCGAGGGCTCCTGGGGTCCCCACCCTGCAGCGGACCCCTCCTTCTCACCTCCATGGGATAGATGATGGTCTGGGCCGTGGCTCCGGCCAGCGAGCCGGCCACGAAGCGCTCCTGCACATGCAGTGTCTCCTGCTGCCCCCGGATCGCCCGCTTGATCTGCGAGGAGGAGGAGGCTCAGGGCTGGCAGGATTTAGGGGGCACTGCGCGCTCCTAGCCCTCTGGATGGCACCCCCTCTGCTCTCCGCAGGGGAGTAGAAAGAAGACTACCATTCCCCGCTCCGCCCCCCCACATGCATGCGCCCAAGCACACACCTCCACAGGTTCCTACCTGCTCATAGGCCATGAACTTGATGGCTGACTCCGGCGCGATCTTGAGGACATTGATGCCGTTGCCCCGCCACAGGGACAGCACGCCCCCCTCACGCACCATATTCCGCAGCCCCCCTAGCACGTCCAGGCGGTTGGTCTTGGAGGCATGGACCTGGGCAGGGGGAAAAGTGGTCTTGGAGCCCTTGGCCAGGCCCGAGGTGGGGGGAGGGGATGGGGGCAGGTCTCCCCAGGGCCACCCTCACCTGCATGAAGACCTTGAGGCGGTCCAGGGGGGCTGTGCCCGTCCGAGACACAGCACCTGCCACCGCGCCTGCCACCAGCTGCTTCCACCACATGCCCGTCTGCTTCTCCTGCTCTGAGAACTCATCGGGGACCGTCAGGCACTCGCCGATGTCTAGGACCTGGGGGTGTGGGGCTGAGGTGTCATACGGCGTGGAAGAGGAAAGCCCTCCCTTCCCACCCGGAATCATCACCACGTCTGGAATCTGAGCTTGCTGGGCTGGGGTGTCCTGCCACACCAGGACTGAGACCCAAGGCCCAATCCCACATGGGGAGTTTTCCCCGAGTTCCAGGCTGCTCTGAGGACCCAGTTAACCTTGACTGGAAAGCCCAGGAGAGCCAGCCTAAACCTGCTCTCGACACCACACAGCATCTCACCCTAAACCCTCTACCAACAGTCCAGTCTCAGATGCCATGAGCCCAGCCTAAGCACAGATCCCTCCAGAGCCAGTGAGATCCCACCCCAGGGTCTTCCACAGAAGGTTCCAGAAGATCCTCCAGGGATCTCACCCATGCCCTCCATAGATCCTGCCAGATCTTCACCCAGACACCAGCCCTCGGAAAGACCCCTCTGGTTGACCCCTGGAATTCCTAACTTAATCCCTAAGGATCCTTGAGGGTAGGAATCAATCTAGGGCCCCCCAGATCTCCCAGGTGCCCCCTTCTAGGGAACCTCTGCCAGGGAATTCCCCACCCCCAGTATTCCAGTCGGGCTACATCCCAGGGAGCTGGCATGCAGGGACATCATGGAATCCTCTGAGAGGACGGCTTTCCAAGGGAGCACGCTATAAAGCAAAGACTCCTTCAGGCGCCAAGAGAACCAGGCAGAAGGGGAGTTGGGTGGATGGAGGGTGGGAGGCCTGGTGCCCCATCTGGTGAGCTCCTCCTGCCTGCACCCTGAGTTCCCACAGCCTGTCCCCAAAAGCCCGCAGGGAACACTCCTTACAAACCATAAAGACTCCAATCAGCAGAAATATATATGGGGCCCCTGAACCCCAGAAAGAAGAGGAGGGGAAGGGAGCCTCAGCCCTCGGCTTCTCTCAGCCCCTCCTTCTGCAGGGGCCTCTGGCTCCTGCACCTCCAAGATCTGGGAGACCAGGGCAAGGGGGCAGGTGGGAGGGAGCAGGGAGAGTGGCCCCCACCTCACCGTGGAATGCTTCCAGAAGTAAACCACATCCTCCACATTCTCCAGCGAGTGCAGCAAGAAGTGGTCACGCCATTCCTGCCAATCAATGGTCATTGTGCCATCGCGGTCCATGCTGGGGACAGGAGGGCAGGGTCAGTGCCTGGGGGCAGGGCTGGCTGGCTTCTGCTGGGGGCAGGTTTGGGGGTAGAGACAGTTCCCTGGAGCACACACCTGCTGTTGTTAGGGACCACCGAGTTGGACTCCTCGGTGCCCCATATGTCAGCCCACTACTGGCCCCAGGGTTCCTAGGCTGTAAACTTTACAGGAGGGAGCCTTGGCGGTGTAGTGGGGTATGTTTTAGGCTGCTAACTGAAAGATGGGAGGTTTGACTTCACCAATCACACCCCACGAAGAAGAAGCCATCTGTTCAGGTCAAGATCTACTGCAATTGACTCCACAGCAGTGGATGTGGGTTTACTCTTTAAAGTCGCCAGCTTTTTCTCCTGAGGAGCGGCTAGTGGGTTCAAACCACTGACCTTTTGGTAAGTCGCTGAGCCCTTTAACCACCATGCCTCTGTGAACACCTGTCTTGCCCTGTGCCCACTCTTTGTCTCCTTGGCTTGGCTCCCACTGGGTCCTCATAAGAATTCACTGCCAGGCTCACCCTGACTCAGTGTCCCCCTTCTGTGTGTCAGCAAGAACTGTGTTAAATTAGGTTTAATTAGACCTACATTTAATTGGATCTACATTTTCTTTTATTATTATTATTAACTTTAAGGAAAATTTACAGAGACTTTGGATTTCCATTCATTCATTGTTGCACTTTCCTCCCTGCCCATCCTTCCCCACCCCCCAGTTGGCTCTTCTCTTTGAAAAGTAAAATTCTTTCATTGTTATACTATCCTTCCCCCCAAGTCCACCCCACTGTGCACCCTTGGACCTTCATTTTCTAGTGCCTGATGTTTTGAAAACGGATCACCAGACCTTTCTTTCGAGCCACCTCTGGGTGGAGATGAGCTTCCAACCTTTCAGTTAGCAGCCGCTTATGTTCACTGTGTCCCCCAGGGTCTGCCCAAACGTCTAGAACCAGTTCTAACTGCACATATTCTGGGGCTAGTACTAGCTCTGATCACATAAGATTATCCCTTATCCATGCCTCATGCTGACCCGTGAGGGGTTGCATGGTGTCCCCCCCAGAGGTTATACTGAAGCCTTAACCCCTTGGTGCCCATGAACATGACCTTGTTTGGCTGTGAGGTCTTAGCCGAGGGTGTCAGCTAAGCCCACTGGTGGGGTCAATGGAGTGGGGTGGGTCCTGACCCATGTGAGTGAGTCACGGCAGAGGAGGAAAGGCAGAGAGAGACTCAGGAAGGAGGCGGTGTGACCTGCAAACCATCAATCACTTGCAGGCCGTTACCAGAAGCTGGGGCACAAGGAAGCCTGGAACAAGAGGCCTTCGAAAGATCAACAACACATCAAAACTCTGATCTCGAAGTCCAAGGCAGCACTTTTCTGTTCCCCAGGCCACCTGCTCTGTGGTATGTTGTCAGGTTGCCTCCCAGAAACCAAGGAAGCCTTGATGGCTCAGTGGGAGAATCCTCCCTTGTCCTGCAGGAGACCTGGGTTTGATTCCCAGCAGGCGCACCTCACGCACAGCCACCACTCATCTTGAGGCACCGGCTTGTGTGTGGCTAGGATCCTGAACAAGTCTCCGGGGAGCCTCCAGACCATGACAGACTAGGAAGAAAGGCCTGCCAATTGACTTCCGAACTTCAGTGAATGGAAGCCCAATGGATCAGGTTGGTCTGATCCTCAGCTGATCGTGGGAAAGGCTATGTGCTTGCAGCCGAGTCCCCTACATCATATAACAAATGCACAGCCTGCTGGGGGCGTGGATTCCCCACCAGTTACAGAGGAGACTGAGGCTCTGAGAGGTGAAGCCCTGGGTCCAGGATTTCCGGCACTCTCAAGCTCAGCTCTGCCTCACAGGCTGGGGCCCAGGGAGCAGGGTCACATGGCCTCCAGAACACGGGATGCTCACCTGTGCAGAATCTTCTCTGCCTGCTCCATGGTGATGGAGATGCCCAGGGCCCGGAAACTCTGCTGGATCTCAGAGACGTCGATGTGACCTGAGGGAGAATCCAGGTGGTATCAGGGCGTGAGGCAGCCCCGGACCCTGGTACCTGACATCGACCGTCTCTGAGGATCGCATCTGTTCCCATGATGTCACACTAGAACAGGGTGGGTCCTTCTCCAACATGCCATCCCAGCTCCCCTCTTGTCAACTAGCTCCTCACCCACGTTGGTAACATCTTGTAATGTGACAGTTAGGAATGCTGAGGTGTGAGGTGGGTGTAATGCTGGCTGTGATGGTTCGCTGATGTGAGAACTTGGCAAGGACAGGACTCTCAGTGGTTTGACCATGATACAATGTATCATGTGGCTGTGATACAATGACATTACTGACAGTGATGCAATGCAATGTGTTGATAGAGATGTAAGATGCCATTTGGCTGTGACGTCATGATGCCATTTGCATGTAACAATGTAGCCTTTTATTTTCACGTAATCTGATTTTCACACAGTGACCTCGTCTTTGCCACTTAACCATGTTGGTAAGTGAGGAGTGGGTGTGGTGTGTTTGTCCCCATCGCCAGCTGGATCATTTTGACTCACGATAGCAGGACCTTTCCTAAGTTTTCCTTGCTGTGATCTTCATAGGCACTGCCCTTCCTTCCACAGAGCCTTCCTTCCACACTTGGTGTGTTTGAACTGTCCACCTTTAGGTTAGCAGTTGACCACAAACCATTTGCATCACCCTGGGATCTTCCCTGTTGTTACGTGTCATCTAGTCCACTACGGCTCATTACAACCCTATGAACATCAGCTCTGAATCGTGTCCTGTCCTGAGCCCACTGTCCTTATAGATACAGGAGAAGCAGAGGGAAGAGGGCCTGTGAAGATGGAGGCAGAGGTCAGAGGGTGCATCTAAGGTCAAAGATTGCCAGGATTGCCGGGAGAGCCACCGGGAGCTGCAAAAGGCAGAAAAAGATCTCCCAAGAGCCCAGAGGCCCCAGGGACACCCTAACTCCACCCCTGCAGTCTCCAGACCGTGAGGCAGGAAGCTGCTTTATTGGAAGTGACCCAGACTGTGGCAAGGAGCTCTGGTGGCACAAAAGTGAAGCACTCTGCTGCTGACCAACAAGTTGGTGGTTCAAACCCCCCAGGAGCTGTGTGGGAGAAAGACTTGGAATCGGCTCCTGTGAGGCTCACAGCCCAGAAATGCTCTCGGGCTGCCAGTGAGGCTGAGATGCATCAGAATGGAAGTGCAGGCCCACAGCAATGAAGATGGCTTGTGACGCTTTGTTAGAGCGGCCCTGTAAAACCACGACAGTGGAGTGTGTGTGTACCAATGAGGGAGTTTTTCTTTTGTTTTTCAAGGAGAGGAGCGAATGGGGGGGGGGGGGGGGGGGGGGTTGTGCGCGTGCGCGCGCATGTGAGCACACACACAGTTCTGGGGACCCCATCATCAAGAAGCAGGAATGACTGGAAGGCAAGACCAGGGCAAAAATTTCAGACAGGCTTGGGGGGCAGTCCTCTGTTTCAGAACAAGATGGGGGTAATGATGCCAGAGAAGAGAGACAGAGAGGACTCTGGTTGGCACAAAAGGATAGTTATACACAGAGGCTGGAGGTTCAAACCCACTCAGAGGCACTGCGAAAGAAAGGCCTGCCAATCTGCTCTTCAAAGGTCTCAGCCTTGAAAATCCCCAGGGGCTGTCAGTCTTACAGCTGAGTTGCAATCAACAAAGACCCTGCTGGAGGGGAGTGAGAGGGGCATTAGTGGCCCAGAAGATGCTCTTGCTGGTGGTAGAGGATGTCTCGAGACCTTCAGGAGCCAAGGGGGACTGTGGGGGATCTCTGTCCCCCAGGAAGATATCCACGAGAGTTCTTAAAGGCAGGGGTGCTAAGTCTCAAGCACTTTGGCATGTCGGTAGGAAGGGCCAGTCCTTGGAAAAATACATCATGCTTGGAAAGTTGGGGTGTCAGCAAAGAAGACCCCCAAAAAAAGGGTGGATTGACACAGTGACTGCAACAAAGGGTCTAAACGGCACAGAGATCGTGAGGATGACAAGGTCTCAATCTGTTCATGAGTCGCTCACTATGATTTAGTCAACTCAACAACACCCAACAACAATATAGAATCAGGGGTTCGCACCCTGGCAGGGAAAAGGAAGGGAGATGGGCGGATTGGGCCTCAAACTGTTAGCTGGGGGTGGGGAGCGCTCCCAAAATAGCCCGTGAGTCAGCGGGAGAAGCGCCCTCCGGGCTCTGTCTGTTTTGCCCCCCTGACGCCTCCTTTGCCCAGGGCCCAGGCCCTGCCCCAGGCGCCCTCACCGTCCTGATTCCGGTCTAGGTGATGGAACATGAGGAGCAAGCGCTGTTCCCGCTCCTGCAGGTACTGAGAAAACTCCTCCAGGTCCAGCCCGTCCTCCAGTGCACCACCATCCTCCAGGGAGACACCCTGGCAAGAAAGGCACAGACAGGGGGCTCCAGCAGGCTGCTAGCCCACACGGGGACACACAACTGAATCATCTGCCTCAGCATCCCAGGGTCCCTAGCACCCCGGGGAAGGGGGCAGGGGAATCACCTCCCCCTCCAAAGTCCGCTTCTCAGCAAGATGCCCAAGGCCACAGCAGGCCAGGGAAGTGAGGAGAGTTGGCCCAGTTTGCAGCAAACTTCGAAGCAGAGAGGTCAAATGGCTAGTTCAAGGTCACCAGAGCAGGCAAGTGGTAGCCTCAGGCTCCTGTCACTCCAGCTGGTCCTCCCAGCTGTCTCCTATCAAAACCCGTCTACCTGGCTGCCAGCATGGGACCGCGCAGAGCCAAGCTAGAGGGCAAGGTCCCGTTTGCCCCATCGCCCCATCGGGAAATGAACAACTGACTGGGCTAAAGGTTTCAACTCTGTGGAGACACCCAGGGGCCCCCTGGGGCTACAGGTGGGGGAGTGGGGAGTGTGACACCTCTATGGAGAGTTCATGCCTTCGTAGACCTGTCCCCAGATGAGGGGATCACAGGCAGGGCCCGGTGGCTGTCTAGGGCAGCCCGGGGCGCCTAGCCAGCTCTGGGAAAGGGCAGGCTTGGGAATGTAAACAGTGGCCAGGGCAGCCGGCTAGGAGGGCAGTGGGTGCCCGAGGGCCCCAGGGGAGGGGGAGTGGAGGGTGTGTCTCAGGAGGTGAGTGGAGGGCACGTCTTGGGCAGCGCAGAGAATACAGAGGGTGTGTCGCCAGCACTGGACAGGGAAGGGGACCGCTGGCCTCCCTGACCAATAGCCCTCCTCTTGGCTAGGGTTAGGGGGTGTCAACAGTTGTACTGCAGGCCTGGAGCCTCCTTGGTCCTGTGTCGAGGCCCAGACGTCCACAGCAGGGCAATGGGGACAAAACCACTCAGCGTGGACACAGGTCCTGGAGTCCAGCCACACAGTCCCTAGCGGCTTAAGGCGCTCCATTCAAGGGTTCGGGTTACCCAGGCCCGGCGTGGGGCTCCAGGAGGGGGTATGGGAGGAGAGGTACCTGTTGGGTGCTGCGGTCCGGGTCGCCCCCTCCCAGCCGGGCCAGCCCCCGGCGCAGCTCGTGCACGTCCACGCGGCCATCCTTGTTACTGTCCAGCTCCTCGAACAGGCGACCCCAGCGCTGCCGTCGCTCCGCGTCGCCCGGGCCCCCCCGCATGGCGCCAGCCCGGGGGGGAAGGGAGGCCCGACGGCGGCGGCCTCAGCGGGGGCTG